CTGACCTCAGGTGATCCACCCACCTCAGCCTCCTAAAGTGCCAGGATTACAGGCATGAGCCACTGCGCCCAGCCTGTCTTAGAATTTCTTAATGCAAATATAAACAAATATAACTAATTATTTCCTCCTTACCACAAAAGATAACCCACTAAACACACTGTTCAACACTATACTTTTTCATAGTTAACAGTTTACCTTGGATACCTTTTCACTACGAGAGCCCCATGATTCTTTTTTTCCTGGTTAACATTATTCAAGGCTACCGACAACAAACTGCATCCAATTTAAGTATATAATTTGATGAGTTTTGGCAATTATATGCCTGAAGGCACCACCACAGTTAAGACACACAATGTTCTTTATGATTTTTTTAATGCTTTATAGTATTTCATTATATGGATATACCATTTTTTAAAATAATTTTTTTACCTTAACTTCCCAGTGTAAAGTATACCATAATTCTTTAAACCAGGTTTTGTAGATGGGCATTTGGGTGCTAATACAAACAGTGCTGCAATTAATAATCTTTTTCATACAGCATTTCATATGGATAGATTCCCAGATGTGGGATTGCAGAGCCAAAGGGGAAATACATTTGCAATATGGTAGATGTTGCCAGTTTGCCCTTCAAAGGGGTGGTACCAATTTGAGCATGTTAGGGGAAGAAAAATAATTTTTCCTATACGCTTTTAAGTTATTGACTGAGAACCCTGTAACAAAAGATAAGAGAAAAACAGAAGTTTATTAACATATATATTTCATATATACATGGAAGAAACTCAGGAAAAGAGTTAACTGTCTAATAGGTGTCTTACAACTCAGGCTTGCTCTTGCTCCTGCTCTTGCCATGTGACACGTCTGCACCGCCTTTGCCTTCTGCCATGATTGGATGCTCCCTGAGGCCTCACCAGAGGTAGATACTGGAGCCATGCTTAGTACACCCTGCAGAACTGTGAGCCAGTTAAGCTTGTTTTCCTTATAAATGACCCAGCCTTGGGTATTTATTTATAGCAATACGAAAACGGACTAAAGTACAGCACCCCAACGTGGCCTTTCCATTCTAGGAGCTGCCCAGGAGTGCCCTGGCTCCTGCAGGGCAGCAGTTGGGAGCCTTATGTCCCACGTTGTGCCCAATCCTCCCACCACCACAGCTAGCTGAAGCCCAAAACTACCAGGACACATTCTCTCCAAACTCTGAGCTATTAGGAATACCTCCTTGACCATCTCTCGAGTGATCCAGTGAGAAAGAGAAAAAGAGCAGCTTCTGACATCCAGCCACAGCCAGGCACTCACAGCGAGGCCATGTAATTTTCCTACTGAATCTTCAGTGGAGCCTCCCTTACGCCTTTTCTACACCCTGGAATCAAGACAAGCTGCCCTGCACTTGGAGTTTTTTGCATGTCTAACCATGGCTCTCTCCTGGGCTTGTTCCTGTGGTCCCACCCAGAAGACATTCTATGCACAGGAGGACCATTTCCCATACCCCCATGATTGCACCCTCAACCAGTCAGCAGCAAGCACCCATTGCCCAGCCATCCCCACCCCTTCCCCAAACTGTCTGAAAAACCCTAGCTCCCAAATTCTTGGGGAGATTGATTTGAGTAATAACTCTATCTTCTGTGTGGTGTGACCAGTTTTGCATCAATTAAACTCTTTACTGCAAAAGAAAAGAACTTAGCCTAATACAGCATCTTTAACAAAGAACAATGAATTTTTTTTAACTCTTAGGTTCAGGGGTACATGTACAGGTTTGTTATATAGGTAAATTGCATGTCACAGGGGTTTGGTGTATAGATTATTTTGTCATTCAGTTAATAAATGATAGGTAGTTTTTTGAACCTCTTCCTCCCTCCACCCTCACATTGGCCCCAGTGTCTGTCGTTCCCTTCTTTGTGACTACATTTACTCCATGTTTAGCTCCCACTTAGAGGCAAGAACATGTATTTGTTTTTCTGTTCCTGTGTTAGTTTGCTTAGGATAATGGCCTCCAGCTGTGTCTGTTTTGCTACAAAGGACATGATCTTGTTGTTTTTATGGCTGTGTAGTATTCCGTGGTGTGTATGTACCACATTTTTTAAATCCAGTCTACCATTGATGGGCATTTAGGTTGACTCCATGTCTTTGCTATTGTGAATAGTGCTGTGATGAACATATGTGTGCATATGGCTTTATGATAAACAATTTATATTCCTTTCGGTATATACCCAATAATAGGATTGCTGAGTCATTGGTGATTCTGCCTTGAGTTTTTTGAGAAATTGCCACACTGTTTTCTACAATGGCTGAACTACTTTACATTCCCACCAGCAGCGTAAAGTTTGTTATATAATTCTTCTGGCGACACCTCTAGGCTGATAAGGGTCTGAAGTCATTTTGGGCAGGAACTGTTATCCTTCCTTGTAGAGAGGGCAAGAGGGACACCTTTGTAAATTTATATCCTGCTTTTAGGCATAGAGAGGGAGGGCAGAGAACTTTTTTTTTTTTTTTGATACTACTACTTCTCAGTTGCTTTCAGTTCAAAATAATCCTTATGCCAAAGTGGAATGTTTTGGGGTAACATAGTCTGCTACCCCTCAGCTCCCATCAGCAGTGTAAGAAAATTTCCCCACAGTTTAGCTACTAAAAAAGTATGTTATGAAACTTGGAGTTTTTGCCAGTTAGGTGGAAAATGGTATTTCAATATAGTTTTAACTTACAGTTTTCATCTGAGATTGGGCATATTTTTGTATGTTAAAGAATGGACCATTTAAGGGATTTGCTTGTCTGTAAAATATCTCTTCAAACTCTTTTTCCATTTTTCTGTTGGACTTTTTTTTTTCTGTTAATTTTTAGGAGCTCTTTATATATTAGGGAGAGTACTTCTTTCTTTGCAGATGTTGTCTTCTCAAATTATTGTTTGACATTGCAAAAACTTTAGTTGAAGGGTGCATCTCTAAATTTTTACTAAGGATATCTTCCTAAATATTTCTTACTTTTTATTTTTTTTCTTTTTCTCCCTCCTTTCTTTC